TAAAATAAAATATACCTGGATTTTTTTCAAATTAATTATGGGCTATTAGCTATGTCAACTATTAATATATTTTCTGTGATCTGGACTGTTAGTACATCAAGATTATTCTAAAAAAAAAAAAAAGATCCCTTGGACTAAACATAGTTATTTAAATTATGCAAATGCATCATTAAGTGATTTACAAACTATAGAATGGTATAATAAAAATAATAAAAGGAAATGAAACTATATTACCAAAAATATGGGATTGGAAATAAAAACAAAAGATCAATTAACCCAACATTCATGTCAGCAAAACTGCTAATAGTTGGGCCCTCTTGATTTTCAGAAGAGAGTGTGCCAGACCAAGGAAAATATCTCCCAGTAAATTACTGACATATATCAGTCCGCAGCCCTTGGCACACACAGTAGATACTCTGATCTGAATTGTTTTAAGGCCTTAGACATTACAAGAAACATCTAGAACCTGATCAGTTGGCAGCCAAAGAGTTCCTTCAAGAGAGATATAACATATCTAAGGCCAGATAACCTACTCAGCTACACAGCCACTACATTTTGTCCCAGCTGCAGCTTCTGAATAAAGTGTAACTGTAATCCCACATAGATTGCATAACAGTCAACTAAGGATGAAGTTCCCATATGTGAGCTAGACTGTCTCTATTCAGAAAGGGGCATAGTTGATCTACCATTGAAAGCTGATAGTCAGTACTCCTGGACACAGAAGTCCCTTTGGTCTCCAGTGAGAGTGATAAAGCTAGGAATGTTCTCCAACAGCATACTTTTAGTTTCTGATGTGTACAACCTGAGAACAAACCCAGATTGAGTTTCAGGTACAGAAATGCAGGCAAAACTCAGAGTTTCTGTACCTGAAAATCACCCACCCTCAAGATCTGTATCCTGAGAGTATTCAGTCTCAGTTTAAATAGCACTGGAAAGACTTCAAGCAGCAAACTAATAATGGAGATAATTCCTCCTTTTGTCTATAAACTCTCACATACCATCAAAATCTGTTCTGATGTTTTTTGAGTAGTTGGGAGTAGTTGGGAAAAGAACAAAACTGTAAGGAAAGCAAGGAAATGAAAGTGCTGTAGCATGAACAGAAATTCACTGGTGGAATATTGTATTTAATTGCAGTTTGTATATAAATATTTTATAATCTATATTATACTTGTTGCTAGTATCATTATTGCCACTATTTAAACTGTATCCTGCCTTCCTACCTATTTACCAAGAACACTTTAGAGAAACTAAATAAGGGGGAGGGGGTGGGTGGCTGGGGGATTTTGTTTTGCTTTGGTTTCCAAGAATCAACTTCTAAATTAAAATTCATAGTTCTCACCACAGTGGAAAAATACCTCCCTCTATTGGTGAAAAGCATGGTTGGTTGCTAAACTTTGTTTTGAAAAAAAATCTTAATTTATAGAAAGCAACAGGAATACATTCATGGTTTTCTATATATTTAAATCTAAAATCAGTATGCTGAGAAAAATTTTAATAAGCTAATTTACTGTAATTTTAATTGCTTATGCTACCCTTAGTTCCAGGGTTTGAGAAGAAATTATAGTATTGAGCTCAGCTGGAGTTCAAAGTTGCAGAAGAGAAGTCTTTTAGTGATACTGATTTCTTTCCATTTCTTTAGATAACCATGAGTGTAATATCTGAGAGCAAACTTTTAAAGTCATGCTTAGAAGCCATACATTATTTTTAAGAAAAGTTCTGTTGAGTTTAATTTTTAAAATAACTTGGATTTATATGCTTGTTCCTCATGGCTTCTCATGGTTGGGAATGAGTAAAAAAGTGAATTGGGTAAGAGAAAATGAGAATTCCATTTTCTGATATGTTTCTCTTATGTTAGATGAGCACAGTTCAGCTTTGATTTGTTTCAGTCTGATCCTGAACAAAGATGAAAAGTGTTGTTTTGTCCTCAACAGACATAACTGGTTGCAAAAAAAAAAAAAATGTAGATAATGAGAGCAGACTGTTCTTATTCATTGGTATGCCAAGATTTACTTTTGAGGTTAAATTGTACATGTTGCTCTCTCAGCATTCATGAATAACTTCCAAAAGTGTTAGCTCTATGCTTAAACACATAATACATTAAACTTACACTTAGAATTAATGTTATCAAAGGCTTGTTTTATGCATATTTAGCAGGGGGGGAGGAGAAGTTGTGAGGTAAGAGAAGTTGCGAGGTAAGAAGACTACACATTTTAATGATTACTCAATTTAAAGTGAATCTAGTACTCAAATGATAAAGTGTGAAGTAAAATGATCATATTGCCTGACACTGTGTTGGAAACTGAAGCTACCCATTTGCCTTTATCTGCAAATTATTGTTTAGTAGGATGGATTTAAATCTCTATGCTTGGGCAATTATAGGACTTACAGCGTTCCTGTAGAATTTCAGATGAATGGCTTTTCCTGCGCTTTCAAGTCAAAGAAAGAATTCTACCATTTTCAGTAGGCGTTGTAAAAGGATATGGATGTCTTCTCCATCACCTGTACTTGCCCAATAGCAGCCTAGCATTTAGTGCAACATGACAGTTCTATTTCACCACTGACTTATCTCCTTAGCAGGCCTGTCTGCATGGTACCTTTTCATTAAGGTAACTGCCATACAGCTTTGTTTTCTAAGGGATTATCAAAAGGAATTCAGCAGCCGATTTACTTGTCCAATGATAGCCTCGCGTTGCCTTGGAATTGTCACTGTTCCTTGATTGGTGCCCAGTTCTACAGTGATGCCACAAACGTTATGAACATTTTTCGTCCATCCTGAGAATTCTGTTACTTCTTAGAACTTCCTTTCTTTTCCTCTCTTTCTGT